GCAACTGAAAGAACGCAAATTGCTTTCGAGAAATAATTTCAACTTGCTCCTACCGCACTAGCAATTTTCATTTTTGCTAAAAGTGCTGTCAAACCAATCGAGTGTTGCCGTGTGAGACGTTTTGATTATTAAAATTATTTACTTTAATCTACTGATATGAAGTATTCAAGTATTAATGCATTAGACATTTTGTGACTGCACAAGCACATTTTAGCATTTTTAGTACATTTTCAGGTCATTAATTTTGTTGTAAACGACAAAAAAAAACTAGTATCGGAAAGTTTGATTTTCGGAAATAAAAACTGCTTTCGAAAGCCACTTTACACGCAAGGTGTGACTGATGCTGCAATTTCTTTTGGAAATTCTGAAGTTTGACAGACTTTTGAAAAGGACTTACACTTGCCAAGTTTAACAGCCACTTAACTTCCTGTCCTTATTATTACTATCAGCAAATGTGTGCAATTTTATACATATGCATTTTTTTAGTGCATCCCTAAATGGTTCGCCCGAAATCAATGAAATTTTAGTGGGTTGTTGCGAATATGCCTCCTTTGATTTATAGGTAAAATATTTTGTGTGATACAAAAAAGGACCTATCTGCACTTGGGATGAACAACTGGCGCATATCCGCAAAGGAAAGAGACAATAGGTGAAGTTTTTTGTATCGGCCCAAAGCGACAAACGGTTTTAATGCCAAATAGAAATAAGAAGAAATAAATATGCACTTATAAGTTTTAAAAATTATTAAAATCCAAGTTTTATCTGCAGTGCCACCTTGCGTGTCTATTGTTTTAAGGGTTTATGTAATGATCACTGTTCGACGAAGATTCACAAAATTCATCACTATGCATCGTTAGGAAAAGATCATAAAATATTGAAGAAACTTTCTTGACCAAAAAAAAGGTTGCAGGATTACGCTAGAAATATTGTGTTTGCATAAATATGTATATACTACATATAATACATGAATGCAGCTCATTAAAATGGATTGAAATACATATGTGTTTACGTGTCTGCTCATCCTAACAAATCATTTAAAGCGATTTTAGATTCACAAAACAAATATCATAAAGAAACTTTTTCTCAATAAGTCTGGGGCTTGTGGTTGGAATGGAATTTTTTTGCTCGTAAAAACGAACTAATTTATATTTGCAATGCGATTGATCTATATTCCAGGCATCTACAATCGACGGTAGGCGAAAGGGTGCTTGCCTCTTTTGCCAGGAGTACTTTATGGATTTGTATCTGTTGGCAGAACTGAAAACTATCAGTTTGAAGGTGAGAAAATTATAAACTTTATTAGTTCATCATACATTTTGTATCATGGAATAATATACATATGTATGTATGTATACATACATAACGACGTGTTTATTTACAAAATTAAGGTTACAACGGTTGACATGCAAAAGCCACCTCCAGACTTTCGCACCAACTTCGAGGCGACACACCCGCCTATTCTAATCGATAATGGATTAGCAATCCTTGAAAATGACAAAATTGAAAGGCATATCATGAAGAATATTCCTGGCGGTTACAATTTATTTGTACAGGTAAAACAAATGTTTTTTTTTCTTCAAAGTAAGACTAGACCCTTTTTAATGTTCATGTTTCTATTTGCTTGCAGGATAAAGAAGTGGCAACACTGATCGAGAATTTGTACGTGAAGCTCAAATTAATGTTGGTAAAGAAGGATGAAGCCAAGAACAATGCCTTGTTGAGCCACTTAAGAAAAATCAATGACCACTTGGCTAATCGAAATACCCGTTTCCTAACCGGCGACACTATGTGCTGTTTTGATTGTGAACTTATGCCGCGACTGCAGCATATCCGCGTGGCAGGCAAATATTTTGTGGACTTTGAAATACCGGTAAATAACAAAATTGAAAGAAAAAAATGAAAATGCGGCGGTAGGCACATAATTATTTTTTCTTTATTTATTAGTAATAAATTTTTTAGAAAAGTATACTTTATACTGCAACGAGGACAATGCGACTCAAAATTACAAACCTTTTCTTCTTTTATTATGTGTTATGCATTTTCTTCCATACAAAGTAATTTTTTTTTATGAGAGAAAATTAGCAACGTCAACAAAAAAAAAATCAAAAATTAACGCTTAAAACTCGAGTGGGTGCAGTTTTATAGCATACCCGAAATTTTTCTAGAAATTCTAAATAGAAATATTTTGATGACCATGTTGTGAAATTTGGTTATTTTTTGTTGTTCATTTAAATAAAGTAGAAAAACTCGGCAGGCCTTCCGATGTTAAATAGTTTTAAGAAAGTGATTTTTTATCAACTTTTAAACTTTGAGTTAATTGGTTTTCGTTGGATGTAAACCATGACACAAATGTTACAAGGTACAACCGTTCGCTCGATTCGTCGGCCATCATTCATTTTTTGAATTATGTCTGCTTTAAAGCTTCCAAATTTTTCAGGCTATATTTTTGTAAAAAAAAAAAAATAAATGAAAAATAAATAAAGAAAACATATACATATGTATGTTCTAACATTTTTCACTTAAATTGCTTTCGTGCAATTGGCTGTAACGCTTGTAAAGAAATAATAGAAGTAATTATGTGGCCACCACTGTATATATTCAATTTAAAGAAGGATAGCTTAATTGTTTGCTTTACAGACACATTTCACCGCATTATGGCGTTACATGTATCACATGTACCAATTGGATGCCTTCACACAATCGTGCCCTGCAGATCAGGACATCATCAATCACTATAAATTGCAGCAGGTGAGTGCTGCCATATTTTATTTACGTAAACAGAATTTTTTTTTGACACTTTTTTTTTTCAGATGCTAAAAATGAAAAAGCATGAGGAGCTTGAAACTCCTACGTTTACTACTTCCATTCCGATCGATATTACTGAGTAATGCAGATCTTTTGTATGTGGTGTAATATGACCAGAGCAAGTTGAAACGTTAGCTTGCTATAACCTTAGACCGTATAGCATTAAGAAGCCACGCCCCTGCTTTCAAAAAATAATTCCAATTTATAATACACGCTTGCGTATACCCACTTACAAAATAACATGTGAAACATAAAATAATATTCCCATTTTTTAATAATATAATTGAAATAAAAACTAAAACATATTTTTTATGTACTATATGGGTGTATTCCTAAGAAGAACATAAATACACACAGTACACTATTCTACAGTAGATCAAAAAAATATTCAATATGCGTATGCAGTTGCGCCAATTACATAGGAAAACGTCGAATGTTGCTCTTCAATTATATTTCTTAGTAAAGTTTGTTTTTGTATTTAATTGGCAATGTGAGCACAGTTCAATGACGTCGTTTTTGATAAATGGGCATAAGTATTTGAAAAATATTTACACTAAGTGCGATTATTTTTAATTAAGTTTGATTTGTTGCCAACGTTTGATTTAATTGCATTCATTAGAAATACTTTTTAATGTTTACGATAAGTATTTAACAAAGAATCCAAGATTGACGAGGACTTAAAAAGTTCAAATTATAATGAAGCAAGTATGCCATTACATCAAAATCAAGTACATTAAATTATTAAACGCAATACGTTACACCGTTTACAATTGAAATAAGAAGTCAAAAATTAAAATTAAATCCATTAGGAAATGTGAACTATTCTCCGTATTATTTTATATCTATAGCTATGCAAACATACTTAAAAATAGGATACAATTGTTTTGTATATACAGATTATATATTCATCAAATAAAACAAATAAAATTTCGTACATATTTGATACCACAAAAATGCATTTGTATGTTTTTATTTTGAGTTAAGTCATAGGTTAGACTTAACACTTCAACAATTCGAAATTAACGTTTGGATCAAAATCGCAAGCCCATTGAGGGGCATAGATTTTTGCCCACCGTTCATGAAATTGTTTAGATATAGGTACATACAAACAATAATTTCGCCCCAATCTGATGAACCATTTTTTTAGTAGAACTCCACACCAAGTTAGCTCTTCGGTATTCAGGTTTTCAGTGTGTAGCTGAAGAAAGGTATGTACCAGAGAACAGCTTTGAGTATGATCGAGCCTTTTTGATCACACTCACTAAAAATCAAGCACAAGCGAACGCCACACTCGGCTACTATGTGTTCGATCGAGATGCATACCCGACAGCTGCTTTGGTTACGAACGAGTCTGTTCGATCACCCTCGCTATAAATTGAGCACAAGCGAACACCACACTCGGACACCCGCAGCTAACCCGAAAATTTGTGTAACAATGAAACGGACACCCGAACATTGCGATAAAATGCAGGACAACAAAGAAATTTACGCTGAAGGTAACTGGCGCCAATATGTTCCCACAAAGCATACGAAAATGTTGTTGCTTTGTGCTTGTGCATACGCAATGAAAAAATTAGAAGCGAAGTAGACAAAAAATGTGTTTGCATCTATTTCGTATAGTTTCGCGTGGAAAGCTGTGTGTGTATATATTAGAACACAGCCTAAAACTATGTAGGTACATAAATACTTTTACAAAAAATAAATGTGCTCCGAGTGTATAGGGCTTGGGCATTGCCGATCTACACACATTTATACCTAAATGGATGTAGGCGTCGTGATGCCGCGTTTTGTATGAGCAAAAATATAAGAAATGGTTAAATGTATACTTAAACAAACTACCGAAAAATTCAACCTTCTCTTTACCCTCTACGCACAAAAACTAAGAGCACCGCGATGAGAAGGCAACATTTTTTGTAGAAACAAAAACGTCATAAGCCAATCAAGAAAATTTTGTGCACACTCGGGTTGAAACTCGAACACCCGGGTATATTGAGGTGCAAAGCACCCGAACCCAATCAAGTATGTATGAAAAGCAATCGGGTGTTGTGGCCAACATGTTCGTCTTGAGCTCAGTCGATAACGAACAATACTTCTGCTCGTATACAGAGAACGATGCAAAGCGGGTTTTGTTAGATGATCGAGTATACACGAAAATCATGCACCCGCTGCAGATGTCTGGTATGTACTTACATATATTTATCCGATTATTGATTTGGTTTATTTTCTTACAAAACCTGACAACATTAAATTAATCTCTTAGAATAACAGGTTTCTTACAATACATAAAGTCGTATTTACAATTTTTTTTTTTTTAGATTTTTCGTCAATGTTTTATCTTAAAGGGACGAATGTATTTGACATGATGTTTAAGTCTCTTTAGATCTGTCGGAATAAGGCATTGAAGAAAAGTATTTGTTATGAAGCCTGTAATGCCCCAAACTTTATTCTGGCCGACTACGAAATTTGGGGTACTCCAACCTGATTTAAATTGAGTGTGTTTTATAGTTTTTGGATGTACCAATTCTTTAATAGGTATTACCAATGCCTCCTCTACTTCGTCTTCATTGAGTTTTAATTCTTTTAAAGTAAAATTTTCTACAGTGCCCACAACGGGCATTATAGCGGCAGTATTTGGCGGTGATATAAGGTTGCCTGTTCCCCAGACATTTATGCGTCTGCGTGGTAAACCGATCTCCTCTTCAGTTTCGCGCAACGCACAATCTATGAAATCCGCATCTTCAGGATCCTTTATGCCACCTGGATACAACAGAGTATAGCAAGAGAAAACTACAACAAACTTAACCGGCTTACCAGGAAAAGATATTTGTCGAACATGCCTAGAGAGTCGACCGGAACGGCGGGTATAAAGTATTGAGATCTCTTTCTGTAAAAAAAATATAAATAAATAATTATAATTTCTTTCACTGATTACTTGATGATCATTTCCAATTACTATTTAGGTTCATTGCATTTTTCTCTTTGTGCCGTGATCTAACTTTGCAGTGTCTGGTTTTTAGCCGGGTTTCCCTGGGTCAATTTGTAAAACTATTGTCGCTTTGATTGGCACACATACAGTCAGTGCCAAATGTAAGTATACACCTTGTTCTAATATAATATTCACAATTATTTTCATGAACATTTTGCTTCATTGATTATTTACGTAGTTCATTCTATAACATAAACCATTTAAGTCTCACACTTTATTATAAAGTTCAAACAATTTTCATCAAAATTTAAAAAATTTTATTTAAAATTTCCAGAAAATTTTCGAGTTTGCAGTTTTGTAGACCGTTCAATTTTAGTCAAAAAAAGTGCATATTTCATTACCGTTGAAGTTTTAGAATTTATTTTTTGTGGAGGGTGTTGCGCATTTTCTTCCATATAACGAGCGATCAACATCTATTTTTATATGGAAGAAAATGCGCAACGCCCTCTACAAAAAATAAATTCTAAAAAATCAACGGTAATTTTTAGCAACTTGAAACTTGTACTTTGTTTTACTAAAATTTAACGGGTTAAAACCAGCATCTCGAAAATTTTCTAGAAATTCCGAACAAAAAGTGCCTACTCGAAAATTTTCTGGAAATTTTGGTTAAAATTGTTTGAATTTTCGTGAACTTCATATAAAGTGTGGAACTTATATTTAAATGGTTTATGTTATAGAATGAACTATATTTTCATAAATAATTAACGAACAACATTTTTCATGAAAATAATTGTGAATATTATATTAGAACAAGGTGTCGACTTACATTTTACACTGTATGTAGGTATATGCAGTCAGTGTCAAATGTAAGTGTACACCTTGTTCTAATATAATGTTCACTATTATTTTCATTTACTAAAAGATTGTCACTACTCAAATAACGAAATTTATCAGAAGAGTTTAAAAATTGCAATTTTTTCGCAAAATGTAGAAAAAAGATATGCTTACTGTCTACTTAAGCGGAAACTAAGCAAGATATTCATCAAAATTTCAAATTTTTATCAGGATTAAAAAAAAAATCGAGTAAGCAGTTTTGATCACATTAAATTTAGTACAACAATGTGTGAATTTTGAAGTGGCTAAGAATGCGCCTTGATTTTCAATAATTTTTTAACTACTTCATCACATTATTTTACTAAAATTTAAAACGCTAACAAACGATATTCGAATTTTTTGAAAGTTCTGATTATAAAGTTTAAAATTTGGATGAAAATTTGTTTAAGCAGGGAGCACACGATTTGTACATTTGGACAGTTTTGCACAATTTTACAGTTACAGAGTGGAGTTGTTGGGATTTTTTCTATTCAGCTGAACTCATTCTCGATCAAAATTTCTAAACGCCACCCTGTAACTGTCAAAATGTACAAATCTGTACTAATGTATAAATCGTGAGATCACTGCTTTACAGGCTAACCTAATATTCACGCACGCCGCCAATTTATTGTCAAAAATTTCTCATGCACATGCAACTTGTATGAGATCAACCGAAATTGAACGGCGTGCGTATGAAGCTAACTCAATTTCCAATTTTTGTTCTGCGTGACATTTTGATTTGACGTTTCGCTCAATGAAATCAAATGCAAACGCATGCAAGTCAATTTCGGGTGACGCAAAAAAACAAATTCGACGGCATGCGTACCAAAACGCAAGCCGTGAATATTAGGTTAGCCTGTTATATGGTATTTGTTATAGCATGAACCATATTTAATAAAAAATTTACGAAAATGTTTTGACATAAAAAACATTGTCAATATTTAAAAAAGGAGCGACCGCAGGATTATTCAGCTAGGTGCATGCATTTGCATATACAGTCACTCACATAAGTATTCGTAATTTAGTATTTTCACAAGATTCAAAATGTTTTCTATCATAAATCTTTTTCATTATTTTTTATTTAAAATATAGCTCATTCTATAACAATAACCGTGTAAATCAATCTTGCAAACCTTGTACAAAATTCAAAAAAATATTCAAACTTTAAGAAACTTTCATAAAAATTAAACCGTTTTTATTCAGAATTTAAAAAAATTTAGTTTTGTAGCCCATTCAAATTTAGAATAATAATGTGCAAGTTTCAAGTACCTATAGATTACCGTTGATTTTTTTTTGTGGCGGGTGTTGCGCATTTTCTTCCATATAACCAGGGTCGAAGAAAATAAACAAAAAAAAAATCAATTTTAAGCGTTTAGATAAATATAGCCCGGCATATAAAGGATGAACAAAAGAAATTTTTATATGGAGGAAAATGCACTACATAACTCGTCCGCTGCGGTTTTATACACCCTACACGTTAAATGGCGGGTTAAACATTTGGCTGTTATCAATCAGCTGTTAGTGAATTTAGGAGGATTCTACAAACTTTTTATTCGCGCATTATTTCCGAAATCTTTATTGTATTTTTAAGTTAAATGTACTTAATTGGGGACTGCCAACGACTTTTAAACGCTGCAAAATTCGAGCGAATGTGCATGCATTTCCCTATGTTAATATTTTTGGTGATGCATTTACTAAGCTTACCCTTTCATTTGTGCAGAGGCAAATGAGGACGGCAGCGAATGTTTTTTCGCGAGTTGTCTTAGACGACCTTAATCCAACTGGTGTCGATTTTTCCATACATTGTATTGAACGTAATTTGTTTTCCTCTGATAACAGAATATCCGGTCGCAGCAATTCGTCAACATTCTTACCTTCCTCATTATTATGGTTATGCACTCGTATATGGTTTGCTGTAAGTAATGTTATACTGCGTTGTATAATTTGAAAAGGAAAACATTTTCCAACCAACATTATTATTTTTTAATATTAAATAAATTTGCGAAACAAGACGAACTTATTAATAAACTGTGTACTTTAACCAAGGCACGTTTAATGTGCCTCGACTTTAACACAGAAGTTTGTTTTTCCTTTATCTGCTCTTATCGATATACCGATAGTAATATTGTTTTTATATCGATACTTAAAGATGTTTATTGGCCCAAAACACACAAGAAAAGTTATGCAACACAAGGGCTTTGTTTCTTTTCTTTTCTAGCAGATAATTATCAGAAAGAAGAAGAATAAGAAAATTGAAAGAATTACGCTCACAGAGAGCGAAATTACGAAAAAGTAAAGAAACGCAAAACTAGCAAGTAATCAGCTGATCGGTATATTTGACTATTGAAAATATTTTTTGTATCCATTTTGACAGTTGCTAGTTTCTGCTAGTAAAAATTTTACTAGCAGAAATTAGCAGAACCAAAAAAGGAAGAGCGTAAGATCGAGAGAGAGCTGCTAGTTTTTTGGGTTTCCAGCAGAAATTAGTGATAATTATCTGTTAAGAAACAAATCTAAGTTTTTTTTCTTCGTCACAACGAATAAAATAAAATTAGAAAAATATATGCGTCAGTAGCGGCTTCTATATGTATTAGTGTCATTTGACGTTGATTTCCCAGCCAGCAGAAAAACGTAATTTTTGCCGACAGTGGGATCTCATACAATTCTTCTTATCAAAAAACGTTCAAAATAAGGCGCGGTTACAGAAAACTATTTCAATTTTGATTCGTTTTCGTACTAGAAAACGTTCGAAGAAGATGACGTTTTATATGTTCGAAGCTGAACATTTTAAAGCATACATACCTAGTTGGCAGACGCTTCTTTAATTGTTTTCAAACCATGGAAAAGCATCTGTGAAGCACAGAAGGAAAGCCTCAAAAGTGGAAAACCCCAGCCAGCAAAGAAACTTAAATTTTGCCGACAGTGCAGTCTAGTCAATTTCCCGGAAACGAATAGAAAGCGACTACAATTTTCATTAATTCACGTCCACAAAACAATGGTGGTTTTCGTATCCGGAAACAAATAGAAAACTACTACAGTGATCATTCATTTTCGTGTCCGGATAACGTTCGAAAAAGATGATGTTATTTGAAAGCAATAATTGTATTTAATTTGTTCAAGCTAAACATTTGCAGAGGAGCGTGCCGCTATTTGTTAGCTTCCAGAAGGTGTCGTGTTCGAATCCCGTCAGGCGCTTCCTTAATTTAATTTAATCTTATTTATTTATTTTTTTAACCATGAAAAAAGATCTGTGAAGTGCAGAAGGAAAGCGTATTGAACGAAAAATTCAATCAGACAAATTTCAGCAAACAGCCAAAAAAGTACATATCCTTTTCAATTTTCGGTACTTATCGTCGCCTGGGTAAAAGATTGTCGTAAGGGCCATTTTGACGATTTTTAGTTCTAGATGCAAATATATTTTGAAATAAGTTCTTTCGATTGGTGTTGTCTGTTTTTAGATATCTCCTTTAGTTTCCCTGATATTGAATAAAATTTCTTCGATAATTTAGTAAAAATTTAGTTAGTGATGCAGTCATATTAAATTAATCAATATCTTAGAAATGTTGTTCTCCATTTTTGTATATCTCTTTTAGTTTCCGAGATATTGAGTAAAAAAAGTCGTTAATTTAGTAGAAAATTTTATCACATTTTGTCGTATTTCATACAAAGTGACTGCCAAATTGTGGACAAATGACACTTACGACAGAATTTTACTAAAGAAAATCCTTCGTAAACTCAAAACTATTTAACAATAAACATTAAAAATTAAATAACTTAAGAGTGTTTGTGAACTTATCTGTACGTACGTTTCTGCCGCACACTTTAGTGGGAAAACAAATCGTCAAAGTATCCGAAAATGGAATCGGTAAACGGACAAAAGTTCGCACCTCATCCACTTTTTTTACTTTTCGGATAAATTTTTTGATTTTTTGCTGGCTGGGACGGATTGTCAAATGAACAAAAATCCGCATTTCATCCACTTTATTTTCCTTTTCGGATTTTTTGCTGGTTGGTTATTCTTGTAGATCCGTGAATGTGTTAGTTTTGTGCACAGTTCGCCGTAGGATATCGGGTTAGACTAACTAGAGCTAAATTCTTGTAACCAGTTACTAACTTGGACCAAACATGCGTGAAGGCCTATTTACATTTAACAATTCGTGTCTGAGGCTGAGCACCAATTGTTCCTTTCTATATATCATAGAAACCAGAAGCAGGTCAAATGGCCCATTTTGCATTACAAAACAAAATCAAAGAACTGGTACATTGTGCATTACATTCGATCCCCTTCGAAATACAATTGCCCTCAACTGTGTTTCTATGGCCCATGATTCGGAGCATTAAATACAATTTTTTCGTTAGTGGTAGGTTTAATTAGGGTAAAATTACCTTCATTTGAGAGAAATACAAGTGCATTACATAAGTACAAACGAGTATGTAATGTATGTACTCTTATGTTTCTATTAAATGACCTTCTTTATTCTTTTCACTATATCATAGCATTTCCATATGGTACCTACATTTAGGCGTTCCTGAATCACCGAACTCAGTTGGCGCTGTTGACCATACACATGAAGTGTAAGTAAAAGTACTTACATGCATACATATGTACATACAGTATTGGACATATCTATGGCACCCCCATTTCAAAGTGATATTGTTTGCTATTTTTGTTTAATTATTTATTTTTAAGAATTTTCAATTAAAATGCAGTTCATTCTCTAACAGAACTCATGTGAACGCAAGTTTAAATCTTTTTTAAGACTACAAAAAAATTCATCTTTTCACTCAAATTTCAAATTTTTATTTCAGAAGTGTTAGAATTTTTCCGAGTGCACAGTTTCGCAGCCCATTCAATTTTAGTCTTATAATGTGCAGGTTTCAAGTGGCTAAAAATGATCGTTGATTTCTTAGAATTTTTTTTTTGTCGCATTTGCTTCCATATAACGACTAAAAACACAATTTGTTCTTATATGAAAGAACTCGCAACACCTTCGGCGAAAAAAAACCAACAATCAGGCATAATTTTGATTTTGGCCAGAGACCAGACAATATTGTTTTTAGAGGTGCGCTGAATTTGAATGCTTCATTAGATTTGCTTCATTATCCAAGAATTTCGAGGTATTCAAACCTGACTATGCAAAATCTGATTTTTCTGCAATATTCGCCGTAAAATTGCTTCCCTACGAAGGCGCATTAATTAAGGTGGTAGGAGCCGTATATACATACCTAAAAAATTACACCAACAAATTGTACGCTTAATGACAGTATGAATTACAATAAACACATCATTTTGACGTTTTGATTTCCATGGCGAAAAATTCGGCTGTCGCCCCCACACCACCCTATCACCTTACCGAATTCACCTTGATTGCTACTTAACACACTTTTTTTTTCAAGGCGAATTCACATAAGGTGGTGTTATCAGAGCAGCTGATTTCAAGGCGAATTGCGCAGACTGCCAAAATGATGTGTTTGTTGTAAATTTTTTTCGTTCTGATTGTCATTGCGCGTATAATTTAGTAGTGTAGTTTTTTGTTTTTGTGCTGGCGCTACCAACTTGTATGAATTCGCCTTGCATTTTTTTTTTAGAAATCTCGATGTGAGATTTAAAAATATAACTCTTTCCCTTCAAAATGTTTTTTTAATTTATTCTGATATGTTTTTTTGTACCGGAGGTATTAATAATAATAATAGATTGGCGCTTACACATATAGTGGTCGAAATAATTATATAAAAATATAGTTCATTCCTTA